GGGGGAGTGGGAGAGGGATAAGCAGGCTTCCCGCCAAGCAGGGAGCCCGATGCGGGGCTCGATCCCAGGACCCTGGGATCATGACCCGAGCCGAAGGCAGTTGCTTAACCAACTGAGCCACCCAGGCGCCCCATCATAAACAGTTTTCTTAAGAATGAAGGACCAAAAGCAGGAATTGAAGGATCACAGTGACTCATCCATGATAGCTTGAGGTATGTACCTTCATTTTCCAAGGGCCCAGAAACAACCATCCTTCTTGGGCAGTGCTAGAGAAAGAAAACCAACTTCTGCCATTGGCCTCCTCATTCCTTAATCCATCATAACCATTCTCTTTGTACATACTGTTCTTTAGACTGGGTGGAGCCAGCTAAAGCTTCGTGAAGTTATACTCTCTTTAGGCTCTAGTTCATCACTTCAGCCGAGCATGTGAGTCTTAGCAACTCACTTAAACTATTTTTAGATCCTTACTTTGAGTGGGTTACTTACTTTGATGGTTGATTACTGGAAGGGTTGCTTTTTTTCCCCCTCACTTTACTTTTGGAGGGTAAACATCTTTATTTAAGTCTTCTAGTAATAATTACTAGTTGACTGAAAGTTGGTAGATACTTTGTGTTTTTCCTAAGTAAGGAACTATGGGGAGATATTTGGAATAACAGGGGATGTTTTGCTTTTAGAATTGAAGATGAACGGTAGTCCGAAATGTTGGAGGGTTTATCATGTAAAATATGTAATTGGTTTGTTTTGCGTTCCCCAGGGGTAGAGGATTGCTCATAAGAAAACAAGAAAGAATTTAACAGTTAGTGCCACTCCACAATGGAATAGGCTATTTCTTGATACTGTAGGAGGATTGTGGGAAACATTCAAGAGAAAGTAGGTGACTGGTATCTTGAAGTGATTTGTGTATTTCATGAGGACAGATATTTTTGAAGTACTTTGCAGCAGTTAAGATTGCTGTGATAATGTCATCTTTCTCCTGGTTACTGAACCATTGTCTCTGTTAGGGAGAATAGAGCTGGAGTAAGATGGCTCACCAAGCTGTCTTTATTCCTGACCTTTTTCCTTAGCTGGCAAAGAAGTGTATTTGTGAAATGGTTGGTTGGAGTGCAGGCTAGAATGTGTGGTTCTATAATGTCTTATAATGGCATTGAGGCAATTAAATGTTTGTTGGATGACCTTATCTTCCTTAGCTTTAAGCTCTATGAGTAAACTGGTTAGTTAATGGTTATTGAGGTTTGTGTGCAGTGGAGTATTGGCTGAAGACTGGGAAGATACAGTTCTTGCCTTATAAGTTTTTAACCGAAAAATGTAAGTGTTAAAATGTACAGGGAAAGAGGGTGGATTTATCTTTCATACATATGGACCCAGTCTGGCATATAACCTCTGAAATCTCCTGAAGTCCAGAGTAAGCTTTTGCATGTTTTGTATGGTATAGGCTTAGAATAATGACATTCACTTATGTCAGTACCCAAATATTAAATATTTCCAAGGCTAGTCTAGTAGTACCTCATAGACCTTTTTGCATGTTTTTTATATTTGAAAATTAATTATGATACCATTTATATTTTATAGGATCTAAGCCCTTCCCACGTTATGGTTATAAACCCTCCCCGCCGAATGGATGTGGCTCTCCACTGTTTGGTGTTCATGTAAATATTATTATTTTCTTATTTGAGAAGTTTTATGATCAGTAGGCTATGTAGTAACTCTTTTTTTAAGATTTATTTATTTAGTAGAGAAAGCATGCACAAGCAGGGTGGGGAGGGGCAGAGAGAGGGAAAGAGAGAATCTCAAGCAGACTCCCTGCTGAGTGTGGAGCCCAGCAAGCAGCTCGACCCTGAGATCGTGACCTGGGCCAAAATCAAGAGCCGGTTGCTCGGCCGACTGAGCCACTCAGGTGCCCCAACTACGTAGTACTCCTAATAATTCAAGATGGTCAGTGTGTTCTCAGGGTCACAAATAATTTTGCTTATAATGTTAATTAGGTTTATTATATTCTTTTATAGCTAAAACACATTTAATAAGTCCTAACAAAACTAAATGGAATAAAATTCATGTTTTATTTTTTAATCTTGTAGATGTTAATACTATTGAAAAGATATTTCCTCATGTTGCAAACATGTTTTAAAAGTTTGGAGTATAGAAGTAATGCTACTTAGATGAAAAAGTATAGATAAAGCATAATATTTTCTGTATTAAAGGAAAGCTAAGGAAGGTAGCTGTGTTTGTTTTGTAGACGAGGCTGAATCTGAGCCAACTGTTGTGGGAAAAAAAATGTTTATGAGTGATTCCTAGACACGGGTTTTGCAATATAAAGTTATTTAAAACAGTTAAAGATAAGTTATAGATTTGAAGGAACAGTATCTTTAGGGAATAGATACTTAAAGATTGAACCACAATAACATAAACTGTAAGTTGTAGGAGCTTAAAACTTTTAAGTTTTCAGTGATATTTCATATAAAGTACATTTTACAGGGGGAGAGGTACCAAATACATTGGAATGTCCAAAAATCAATCTTTGCTCTTAGCCTGACCTTTGTGTTTTTGAAACTATGTTTTGTGTTTTGGACAATTGGAAGTTACATTTGTTACCAGCAGATAACTGAATATTGCAAAATAGGGAGTTTTGAGGCATGGCTGAGAGGGAGAGAACATGGGTGCATGCGGGTGAGTGATGGGCAGATGTATAAATAACATGGAAAAGATTTGTAGACAGAAATGGATTTGGAAAATTACACAGCAGTCATCCTCCTTGATTTCTAAGTCTACTTGAATGCAGTACTTCCGCAGAGGAGTTTTGAATTTCATCAACAATAATCCATCCAAATGCCTCTTTCAGCTTAATGTTGGCATCCCTTCCCTGACAAAGTGCTGCAACCAACATGACAGGTGCTATGAGACCTGTGGCAAAAGCAAGAACGACTGTGATGAGGAATTCCAGTACTGCCTCTCTAAGATCTGCCGGGATGTGCAGAAGACACTAGGACTAGCTCAGCATGTTCAGGGTAAGGATGATCCAGCAGGATGGAGGTGAGAGCAGTTTGTCAAGTTTTATTGCCTGACTGCTTTATGTTTCAGTACAGGATTTACCACTGGAAATCTTTCGCTGTGTATTACTATATCTATTGTGACACAGCCCCTTCAATTTTTTGAGGTGAGGAGTCATTGACTGTCATCTCCAAATGATTTATGGTCATGGAAGCAAAAAGTGTTAGGAAACCTTCGGAAGATGGTATCAAAAAGTGTTAGGAAACCTTGGGAAGATGGTATCAAAAAGTGTTAGGAAACCTTGGGAAGAGGGTATGCGAGGCAGAGAAGAATTTATCCGAGATCTTGTGCCCTGTAGTCTGTCTCTAATTATCCGGAACCTAAAGTTTGAAACCCTGGATCCAGTGATTTTAAAAGTATAACACAGGATTTATAGTGGGAAGTTCTAGAAGATTGGAGCTTTAACTGTCTCTTCATATGTATCTGTGTCAGGATGGTCCCCAAAACAACTCCCAGGTTTGCTAGGAGGACTCATAGGATTCAGGATAACAGTCTTACTCAGAGCAAAGGGATATGAAGCAAAGTCAGCAAAGGGTAAAGGTGCATCAATGTTCTCATTTATAAAATACTACCCATCTCATAGAGTTGTCATAAAGATACAGTAAGATGTTTGTGGACATACAAATCACTGTACAAATACTAGAAGTTACAAAATCTTTTCACTGTCAAGCCGAAGTATTTATCATACATCGAAATCGGAAGAGAAGGTGCAAGAAAGGAAACTATACATTTTTAAGCATTTTTCATAAGGTACCATGCTAGGTATTTTAGATATGTTTTCCTCAATGTCCACAAAAACCCAAAGAAGTAGGTAGTGGTATACTCATTTTTCAAGAAGGGAAAAGGAGGTTCAAAGAAGTAACTTGTCCTAAGTTGCATACTTTCGATTTTAAAACTTGTGTTCTGTCTACTGCAGTATTCCCCAAACAGTGTCATAGGTCTGATTCTGAATTCCTAGTAATAACTGTCAAGGAAGAAGGCTCTGCTCCAGGTGCAGCTTGAACCCCCCAGCCTTTGAATCCTTTGCATGCTTTCGGCTGAGGCAGACTAGTTGCACAGCGGAAGCGTACATGGATGTATTTCCTGTCTTCTGATCTAAGGACATACCAATGCGGCTAAATGATGAAGCCAATTTCCTTTCAATGCCCTATTGAATAATTATAGCCTTTACACTTCTGTGGTGGTTGTGTTCCTTAATGGCACAGCCTTTTGGAGAAGTTTGAAAATGTCAGGATTTTGCGATGAATGGTTACTTCCTTTTTTTTTTTTTTAAGATTCTATTTATTTATTTGACAGAGAGAGAGGGAGACAGCGAGAGAGGGAACACAAGCAGGGGGAGTGGGAGAGGGAGAAGCAGGTTTCCTGGCAAGCAGGGAGCCCGATGTGGGGCTCGATCCCAGGACCCCGGGATCATGACCTGAGCTGAAGGCAGACACTGAGCCACCCAGGCACCCCGAAGAGTTTTTTCCTTAACATGAATATTTGAAACTGGAAGTATTTGGGTGACTAAAAGCTACTCTGTGCTGTGTCTCTGGAAGTGAAGTGTATGAAGATAATCTCACCTGGATGTTCCAGGCTTCTTAGAATAAGAAAAGTAAATCCATTATCTTTTTTATAGTCCTAAAAAAATTTTTAAGCCCTGCTAGAGAAAAAACACTTTTGATTCCTAGGTCTCCCTTCCTAGGCTGAATTGGGATATTGAGAAAGAGAGAGAGAGAGAAAGAGACTAGGGTCCATTTACCTTAAGCATCTTTAATGATGTGTGATCAGTTCTTAGAAGTCATTGGCCGTAATTAAATGTCTTGAGGTTTCTCTGTTTTTAACCTTTATTTTTTCTACACCTAAATATCTTTCCTTCAAATGCAAAATTAAGAGTGTTCTAAGGCATCTTTATAGTGGTATTTTTCAGATAAAAGGGAAAGTAACAGTGATGAACTAATCAGTGTTATTGAGAGAGACTCGTTTGCCTCGTAGGAAAAAAAAAACGGGTTGAACAGTTGCGGGCAAACAAAAAAGTAGCTACATGCTCAAGATGCTGACACTGAAAGTCTGTATGTGTGTGCTTCGGGCCTATGAGGGTTTGGGAGGACGTTGGCGTAACAGATGTTTAAGTGCCCACCGAGGATGTGCTTGACACTGTGCTGTAACATGTAATGTATGTGGAGGGAGAGCAGTGCTTTGCAGTTGCCCAGCAGTAACAGCACTTTCTTACCTTGCAGCCTGTGAAACCACAGTGGAGCTCTTGTTTGACAGTGTGATACATTTAGGCTGCAAACCGTACCTGGACAGCCAAGGAGCCGCATGTAGGTGTCGCCACGAAGAAAAAAGTGATCTTTAAAGACGATGCTCACAGTTGGTGACAGCAGATAAGGACAGAAGAAGATAGCCTTTGACAAAGAACTACTGTTTTTACAGCATAATGCTGCCTTATTTTTGTGAAAGGATTATTTTAAGACTTTATTTTGACATTAAAACTTCAAACTAAAGAAAAAAGTGGGGGAGGTGATCTTCCTGGACGTTGCTGCCTTAGTGTACCGAATTGTCTTGACCAACCTCAGAAAGAGGTGCATGTTAAGGGGAGAATATTTTAAAAGGAGGAGTCTGTAACTCAGTTTTCACAACTGTATTTACCAAAACAATGAAGTCAAATGTGAAACTGATTACAAGGTATGTTGAACATTATCTTATTTGGAAATATGGGAAAATCTTCACTTAGAAGTATTTGTTTACTATAAAAATTTAAATATACATTTATTCCTGGAAGGCTCTGACTTTATTTTTTCTCTGTTTTAATTAACACATAACATGCTGCTGTTTTCCCGTAGCCAATTGAGCACTTCTATTAATGACCAGACTAGTTATAAGGACAGAGTTTCCATGTTTCTTTTTCTTATAAAATTGGAACCATCAGCTGGTGGCCTCTTAGGGAGCAAACCAGGATATCTAGCTATTATGTAATGTGTCTAGAAGGTGACATGAACAAAAATCAGAAGCACAGCCACTTGCATTTTATGAACCATCCATATGACAAATATCATATTTTGCTATAACCTTTGCCTAAATTGAAGAAAAGGTGGATTTAATGAGACAAATGAAAAGTTCTTTCACATACACATTAGAACATTATATGCCGCTATGCTTTGGTGTTCATTCTCTAGCACTTGGTCCTCATAGTAGATTCAGGTATATTTTTAAGAAGTCTGTAACCTTTTCCTAATAGTGGTCTTAATAAATATTGTTCTTGATATTTTTTTTAAGTCTTTTAACTGTGGAGTCAGAAGGGATGGTAAAGCAAGATGCAAAGAACTATCTTTTGTAGATTTCTTATTTACATTGAAAATTACTAGCAGATATTTGAAAGCAAATCCCAGGACCTCCGCTGCCTCTGAAAACGTCTCTATGTGTTGGAAGCTTTTGCACCCCTTGGAAAGCGCAGCTGTACTCCTCTACTGCTCTTTGCCCACCACTGGCTGTCCGCTTTCCCTTGCCTACGATCCCAAGCCACAGAAAGCTTGTGGGTAACCTATAGCCACAGTTATTAATATAACTGCTTGGAATGTCAGAGAAGGACAGCTGCAGAAGAAGTGGTTCTTTTTTAAGTCAGTACAGGCAGAAATGGGCAGAGAGAAAAATATGTTCTGGAGAAGGGGCCACATTCCTAACTTTGAATAGATACCATTGCTAAAAACCTAATAACTTCCCAAACTGAGATGATGGAGCTTTTCTGCTAAGAGATGTGTTCTCTGTGAGACAAGGCAAGGGTATCCCTGTGACTAATTGAGCAAACTGGGCTCTAACATAAATGTTTAGAACCCTTAATTGATACTTTTCAGACTTTTTAAAAGGTAACAGTTTTATAAGCCATTATCCGTAATCTTTACCAGTATTTACTATCGAAATACTTGACCAGGTAACTTTAAACTTACAATAAATTCATGGATTTTCTTGGCAGCATTGGCTTTCTCAAGAGGACAGACTCAGAATTCTATGGAATATTTAATTCATGGTCATAAATTATATACAAAGATCAGTAGAAGCTGTTTTTATATGTTAAGATTTTTATCTTGGAATAATTTTAGATTTACATAAAAGTTGCAAAGATAATGCAGACTTGCTGTATACTCCTTACCCCTAATGTTAACATTTTACATAACCGTGAAAACATTTGTTAAGAAACCAACATTGGTAATTGCGATTAACTAAACTCTAGACTTCATTTGGATTGTACTGGTTTTTCCACTAATGTCATTTTTCTTTTCCAGGATCCAATCTAGGATACCACATTGCATTTAGTCATCATGTCTGATAAGCCTCTGGTCTGCGATGGTTCCACAGGCTTGTTTTTCAAAATCTTGATGGTTTTGAGGCATACTGGTCAGGTGTATTGTAGAATGCCCCTCAGTTTGGGCTTGTCTGATGTTTCCCCTCAGAATTGGACTGCGGTTATGGATATTTAAGGAAGAAAACCACAGAAGTGATGAAGGGTTCTTCTCAGCAAATTGTATCAGTAGTTGAATGTTATCAACTTGATATGTTAACTCTGAATACTTGGTTAAAGTAGTGTCTGTCAGGTTTCTCCACCGTGAAGTTACTGTTTTTCCGTTTCCATACTTCTGTTCTTTGGGAGCCAGTCCCCAAGTCAGTCAGTCTGTGGGAGGTGGGGGTGCGCAAGACTCTGTTCCACCTCCTGGAAGGGGGAGTATCTTTATATAGTACTTGGTATTTTTCTGTAAGAAGGATTTGTCTCCTCACCCCTCCCATTTAGTCAATTATTTATATTAGTATGGACTCATGTATATTTCTTTTAGACTTTGGGTAATGTTTATTGCTCAAGTTGTTCCAGCTCAGCTATTGGGAGTTATGTCAGGTTGGCTCCTGTGCGTCTTTAATGTGCCCCCATCCTTTTGATTTTTGAGCACTTCCATACTTTCTGGCAAGAAAGTAGGAATGTTGCTCTGGGCTTGCCTTGTGTATTTCCAGCACTAGAATCAGCCTCTTCTCCAAAGAGCACTGGTTCCTGTTATTGGAGAATGGTTTCTAGTGGAACTTAGAAACCAGTATCTGGGTGCTGGATGTGCTTGTTGCTCTTGGGGTGTCACTGCTGCTAGACCCGCCCAGCAAACAGAGCTAGGAAATACGTATGTATGTTAACCCTTGTACAATCTATAATGATTTCTGTATGTGTGTGTGTGTGTGTATATATATATATATATATATAGCTGAGCATGAGTTCTTACTGATATCTTCACTTGAATCATGTACCACAGGACATGTATTTAAATTTTGAGAATGGTATTTTCCCTATCCGTAGAATAAATTCACTAAAAAAAACAAGCAAAAAGAAAACCCCAAAACTAGCTTTCAGCAGCTCTCTGCAAGAAATACAATACTAGTATTTTTAAATAAAACTATATTGCCTTCAAATAATGCCTATGTCTTTAAAACCTTTTGACACACTTCTTCCAGCAACAGATAAGGCTGTATTCATTTCATAGGTGGAGAAACTGAGGCACCAAGAAGCTCTAAGGAAGACAGAATTGAAATAGGACAAAAGCAAACACATCTGGGACAGGCTTTCCTTCAGTGAACCTGTAAACTAGTAATATTAATTAAATAGTTGTTTTCTTAGCTTCTAATTTTCCCTAAGATGAAAATGTGGTATTTCTGTCAGTCTTTATAGAAGTACAAGATTATCAGGAAATCAAAATGTATATTACCCTGGTACAAAACAAGAATAACATCTAACAAAATGAAGACAATGGAGTCTCTGTAAGAACAACTATTTAGTAGACTGACTTCAGTAACTTTGGGGTAGAATGAAACCTATTAGGTAAGATTCTTCCACATATATTTCATTGCATTGCTCAAATTCACAGATACTACTTGCACTATTCATTTGGGTCTTGTATAATGACTTGTTATAATAATTGAAGTAGCCCCTTTTAGTTTGCTGTTTTTCCTCACGGCTTAACCTTACAAAACCAGCCATCTGCTCAAATCATAAAAGCAAGAATGAGTTAGTGTAACCAGTATACAAAAAATAACTAATAGTTACTAATAAAAATAACTAAAACTGGATCAGTAGTATCCTCTTGGCATATAAGCCATAGTGATGTTAGGGTTTTTTGCCTCAGGCTTATAGGTTTCCAAAACATCCTTTCAAGTCCCCTTGCTGACAACTTTACAAACCTTTTTTGTTCGCTTTCAACTTGTCGTAAGTGTAGGAGTCAGGATAATAGAAATCTAACATTTCTGTGACTTATATAGGGAACACCAGAAGGTTTAGTGGGGTAAACTGAAAAAAAAATGACCAAAATTTGAGGATCATCCCTGATTTTTATTCCGTATGTTTCATTTCTAGGATAGGTGACAGCTAAGACCTTCAGTTTCAGTAAGTTCTGTGAAAGGACATTTCAAGCCATCTGTCAAGTAACTTTCAGTCTTTAGGGTATCTTAATTATTTTAATAAGATGGATTTGCTTTAGATTTTTTTTTCTTCTTTGAGAAGGTAGGATTGGTAGGATTCTAATTAGTCTATGTCAGTGCACATGAGTGTGCAGTTGAATCACTGGATTCTGGCATAAAAACACCTACTGGGCCCCACCCTTAGCTCCTCATTCAGGAGATCTGATTCTATAGGTCCCAGAAGTTTGCATTTCTAGTAAGTTCCTAGATGGTGTTGATACTGTTGGCTTAGGGACCACAGTTTGAAAACTGGTCTAGGTAGTCTGCAGTAGCTAAAAATAATGTACTGAAAGCTTACTGTGGGCCAGGTACTATTCTAGAAGTTTGACAGTTACTGTCTCCAAATTTGAGTAAGCTTGGTCCCCATTTTACAGAGAAGAAATTGAAGCTGGGGGAGATTGAATTGCATTACTTGCACAATGTTTCACAGCTAAGAAAATGGTGGAGCCAGGGTGAGAATCTAGGCAGCCTGTTTTCCAGTCCTAGGCACTTACCCATTTTGTTGGGATAGCTATTGCTTTAAAATGCTAAAATCACTCATTTATAATTCTGAAATAAGTATCTCAAAATGCTTTGTACTTACGTCTTAAGATAGACAAAATCTTACTTTAAAATATAACCACATACATATGCTATAAAAATAAAATTTTCTGAGATAAGATACTTGGGGGGGGGTAACAAATTCCTTTCATCTGCTCCTTTCAGGTAAGTGGGTCAGCTGTTCCACACCTATAAAGGTAGTGTTTTCAGGACTCAAGCAGAGGAGACCCTGAAAATTAGGCAAAAGGACAGGAAGTTCTGGTGGTCAGATAACACGTTCAAACTGGATAAAGTCCAAAGTGCAAATGCTGAAATCCTGGATCTCATTCAATGGATAAATATTTACTGAGCACCTCCTACATGCTAAGCAACCGTGCCAGGTAATGGGGAAACCAAAAGAAGGCCAATCCTTTCAATGAGCTAAAGATGGTGGTAACAGAAGCCAGGCACTGTTTTAAGTAGTCATTTCACTTTATCGTTACAAAACCATATAAGGCAGAGAATGTTATTTCCTGTCTTAACTACAGAATAAGTTACTAAAATAGATTTCTGAAATACGCATACAGCGAAATGAACAGTAGTAAATGGCATGGGATGAGGAAAATCCTGATTTCATATTCTTGTTAATGACCGCGCACACGTGGGAAAAGTTATCACGTTAAATTTTATTTTTCTCTCCCCAATAGGGTAATATTTAGACGGATTTCTTATACTTATTTTAATGTATTAGAAATGATGCCTTAACACATTTTTCTCAGTCTGAAGATGGTTACTTTTTAAATGACAAGGCCCAGAGAAGTTAGAAAAGATGAAGCCACCTTTTCATCCGAACTTGAGTTGTTCCTTGAAGCAAATTTACACAATAGCCAACCACCCCGTAAGGCGGAGCTCGGTTAAATGCAGCCTTGAGCTCCCCGCCGCGCCCAATTAGCGCACTGTTCGGGCATTTTATGAGTGAGGACAACAGGCTCTGGCTCTACAAATCTTCACCTGTACACTCCTAAGTTCGGGATCCGAATTTCTGCATGATTGCTTCCCTGAATTAACTTTACCTATGAAAGCCAGACTTAAATCCTAGGATTGCCTCCAGTTTTACTTTGCCCCAAATTCCCCAAAGAGAATTTAAGAGAAATCATTACAGGTCCAATAAAGTAACCGTCCCTGGGGAAGGACTGCCCGTGACACAGGAAAACACTACACCCTCCACCTTGGAGGCGGTCGGGAAGCGCGAGCCCTGGAGGCGGGGCCGGCGAGCACTTGGCTCCGCACAGGTGCTCTGAAACAGCCCGCCGTGTCTCCTCGGGGTGGCAACCGGCATAACCCGAGGGCCGGGCTCGTCTCCAGGCGCCAGGCGGACGAGACCGCGTCCCTCGGCCCTCCCCGGGCGCTCTGGGCCCTGCGAGCTCCGGAGTGAGGGGCAGGAGCCTGAACTCGGCGGGCAGGAGGCACCGAACCGAGGCGCGGCTCCCACCCACTCCCAGGACGGCCGGCGCCAGGCCGCGGGCCGTGGACGGCGCGAGGGCGGAGGCGGCGGAGGAAGGGGCGGGGGCTTGCGGGCTCCGGGCTGCAGGAAGGGGAGGCCGCCTGGGCGTCGGCGCTGCGCGAGGGGACGCGATGAGCTCCGGGCCGCAGCTCCGGGAGGCTCCCCCTGCAGGTAGGCCGAGGGGGCGGGGGGGGGGCGCGCGGCCCCGGAGAGCTTCCCAAGGGCGGCGCGGGGCGCGCGGGCGGGAGTCGAGACGCGGGCTCTCTCTGCTGAACGGCCCCAAAGAGTTGCGGGTCTTGGAGGGAAGCGCTCAAGTCCGGTGGGGGCAGCTTGTCAGCTTTTTGGTCTAGAAAACCAGCCCAGAGCTTCGCCGCCGCTCGGTGCGGCCCCGGGTAGCGGCGCCCGGCGCTGGGGCGTGCCCCGGCCGCCTTTGTCCTCAGGGCGGTTGGTTATCCCTTTGCAGACGTCGGGCCATTAAACCTTGGAAGGCTGGCCAGGCCGGGGCTGGCGCCCCCCCCCCCCCGCACCTGCTCTTTTGGAACTTTCGGAGGGTGGATCTGGTTTTGTTTTCTACTCGTGAGTTAAAAGTAAAAAGAAGTGGTTGCATGCATCATGGAAGCATAACCAGCCCGCAGGAGCGCCCGACAGGGGCCCCTGGTTATGCCCCTACTTGGGGACAAAAACCAGGCCTTGGCGGGCTGGGTAGCCCCAGTGTCTCTCCCACATCC